AAAAAAAAAAGAAGAAGATGACATCAGGGGATATTTAAAAAAAAAAAAAAAGGATGGCTATCATTATTACTTTTGATTTCACAGAGTTAGTTATCTACAGGTGGAAGGTACCCTGAGGGGAGATCTAATTCCCTGTGATCTCTCAGATGCCAAGGCTGGGCCCTCCAGACTCACTCCATGAGCCTCCCACTAGGCAAACCCATTGCAGTAGAAGTGCTTTCTGCCTCTGCTGTTTTCATCCAAAGACTAGCCTGACAAGTCTGCCACCCTGTTGGGGACAGTCAAGTCTACTCACTCCCTCCCCTTAGCACAATGCTACAAGAGCATTCAGTAAATCCCATCCCACCTCACCTACCCCACTTTCTGGGAAGTGGAATGAGGAGGGGGACACTGATATGTCTCCTACTCACCAATGTCAGTTTCCTCAGAATCAGGTCTCTGATTTCAGAGAACACATGGCCAGGCTCTCCCCCTATTACCTCCTCTAGCTCCTCCTGGTCTCACATTTCTGGCACCTTCACCACTGTCACAAAACACTCTCCTTGCTGCATTTGCCTTTTTAGTTCTTTTGGCTGACCCCTGGGGCTTTGCTTCCATGGCAAAAAAAACCTCCAAAGACAGTCTTTTCTCTGAGATTCTGGGGCCAGGTTTTTTTTTTTTTTAAATAGGCAATACAAGCAAAAAAAAAAAGCATAACATTTAAAATGTGCAAAATAAACTTAGAAAATTAAGTGTCTCTCCATCCCAAACCCTACAACTCCCTGTCCCTGCTCTCCTATCTTTAGCAGTTTCCTATTTATCTGTCTAGACACATGCTATTCTTTAAAAAGAAAAGAAACTTCTCTGTGTTGTCTTTTTCCACTCTTCCTCCCTTCCCATCCTCTTTCCTCCGAACCCACCAGCCACTCTGCTGAAGCAAAGATCTAGCGATCTGCTCCTATACAGGTTACAGCCGAGGAGACTCTATGAGGCAGTTCTACTCTGATATATGGGGTTGCTGTAGTTGGAATTGACTCAACGACACACAACAAAATATGGACACAATGAGCAATAGGTATTAAAAAAAACAAAGACAAAGGGAGATCACAAACTGAATGAAATCAGGCAGAAAATGAAATGAAATTAATAAACTCAATAAAATATTTGCAGCAAGAACAGGCTCTGCCTTTTTAAATTTATTTCTCCAGTGAGCCAATTCATAAGCAGATAATATGAGAGAAGAATGAGGTGGAAAACACTAAACCTGTCATAGAATTACAGAGATGTGAGCACATGATACATAAACAGGAAAGAAGTACCAAGAGGAGATGTTTCAACTGGAAAGGTACTATTGTCTGTATATTTATAAATGTATATATTTTGATCCCAGGTGATCTCAAAATTGTTTGATATTCCAACATTCAAAAATTGTTGTTGTTGTTGTTATGTGCCGTCGGGTTGGGCTCGACTCATAGCGACCCCTCCTTGGGTTTCCAAGGCAGTATCACTACGGAAGTAGATTGCCCAACCTTCCTTCTGAAGAGTGGCTAGTGGTTTTGAACCGCCAGCCTTCTGGATAGCAGTCAAGTGCCTTAGGTACTATGCTACCAGATCTCCTACATTAAAAAAATTAGGTGTTCCTTATTTGGCCAAAAGAAGTAGAAAGTTTACAGCCCAAATTGACAATAACTTATATAATGAATTTGGCCTATAGGTGGTTTGACAAATGTGAACACCAGTGAACCAACAAATCCAGATTCATGGAAAGGCAAAGATTCAGTATCTTTTCTAAATAAGATTCCCTGCTTATCCTGAGTTGGTACATCATTATTATATGTATATAATTTTTATTTCAAAGAATTCCAAGCTCCCTTTCATACTATGACTTAAACAATTCCCAAGTCTCCTCCTTGTCCCATTTATAACATCACCCATTGCTTTGGGTGATAATTCAGCTGTTATTATCCAATAATCTTTAGCAAATACCTTCATATACACAGTTTAACAAACTCTTGTTAGTCACAGAACAAGATGTTGTTATAACTTTGTTCCTTACTGAACTTTTCATATGCTTTTAGGTGGCATTAAAAATTCCAATTCAAGACCCAACGTCCCTTTAATCATTTTCATTGGAACACTGTCACAGAGTGGTCTCTTTCCATCTTTTAAGTTAAATCATGTAATTCTTACCATGCACACCATTGTTTATAAGTTAAAATTTGCAATAAACAACTCCCCTCCCCAAAATAAAAGCTCATTCTTTTCAAGGATAATTTTTATTGATGACAAAGAATTTCCAGGTACAAAAATGTAATTTTCTTATATATCTGACATTTTCCATTTTTTAATTTCCTTTTCAAAACTTAAAACCTCTAAAGTTTTTTTTTTTTTTAGGGTATATTTATTCATCATAAGGATCCCATCCTCTTTCAAAAATGAATCGATTAATCATGTCAAAAGATCGGAGAGGTTGGTCATAGGGCAAAATGTGTCCTCCACCTCGAACAATTACCTTAAAGAAGAAAAAATAAAAGAAACATTAAAATTTAAGAAATGGATATTCTAAATATATGGAAAATTTTAATTTAGATAAAAATTTATTTAAAACTTATAGACATATTGAACATATTTGACTGCTAACTAGAAGGCTGGCAGTTCAAACCCACCAGCCACTTCTTGGAAGAGAGGTTGGGCAATCTACTTCCGTAGTGATACCACCTTGGAATCCCAAGGAGGGGTCGCTATGAGTCGGGGCCGACTTTGGATTGTCTTGCTTTTGATAGCTTTAATTAAAAAAAGAAAAAATTTTCATTGAGTCAAATTCTGACTCATAATGATCAATAGCACAGAGTAGGATTGCCCATAGAGTTTCTGAAGCTGTAAATCTTTCCAGAAGCAGATTGCCACATCTTTTTACCACTGAGTGGCTGGTGGGTTCAAGCCGCCAACCTTTCAGTCAGCATTCAAGTGCTTAACCACTGTGGCACCAGGGATCCTCAGCTTTAATAATGTTGTTGTTGTTATTTGCTGTTGAGTGGGACCCAACTCATAGTGACCCCTCCTTGGGTTTCCGAGGCAGTATCACTACTGAAGTAGATTGCCCTATGTTCCTTCCAAGGAGTGGCTGGTGGGTTTGAAAACCACCAGCCTTCTGGTTAGTAGTCAAGTGCCTTAGGCACTACGCTACCAGAGCTCCCAGCTTTAACAATAGGTACCTTAAAGTAGGAAAGTTTTTAAATTATATAATTGTTTAACTTTACAAAAAGCTGCATTCATCTTTCATGTGTGTAAAACTTGAAAATTACTCCTTGTCTTTTTCCTCTTGGGAGTGCGCTATAAATCTTACCTGGTTAGGCCCTTGAGGTGGGTCGTTGTGAGAGAACTAGCTAGAACCCTGGCTTCTTTTGCTTCTCTCTGTCTTTCCTGCTTATTTATTTATTGTGGTGAAAATATACACAACCAAACAAAACCAATTCAACAATTTCTACATGTGTAGTTCAGTGATTAATTATCTCCAAGTTGTACAACCATTCTCAACCTAATTATTCCACCACCATTAACATAAATTCAATATACCCTAAGTAAAAACTCCCTCTTCCCCTTTCCCTCATACCCCTAGTAACCACTAATAATCTTTGGTTTCTATATATTTGCTTATTTCACATAAGTGAGAACATATAGTGCTTGTCCTTCTGTGACTGACTTATTTCAATCAGCATAATGTTTTTCTAGTAATGTTTTTCTAGTAGCAGCATAGTTCGTTTTCTGACAAACACCAGTGTTCTTTCAATCAAATCATAGTACTTGCACATTTCCTTGCATTTGAATAGAAACTTACAGTTTATGTAAAGAACTTTTTAACCCACCTCTCAATATCCCTCTGAAGCAGGTAAGGGAGATTAGGTCACAATTATTTACAGATTGGGCACTGGGCTTACTCCTGCCACCTACAAATGGAACTTTTGCTTTATGCTATAGTCCACTAATAGTCATCTGTGTCTCTCATTGTGATTACAGTGGAGCCCATCTATCACTCATGACCAAACTTACATCTGGAACCCAACATGCTCAACTTTTTGTCATTGTTGTTGTTATGTGTCGTCAAGTTGGCCCTGACTCATAGTGACTCCTCCTTGGGTTTCTGAGGCGGTATCACTATGGAAGTAGATTGCCCAACCTTCCTTCTGGCTGGTGGGTTTGAACCTCCAGCCTTCTGGTTAGCAGTCAAGTGCCTT